TTATTAAATGGAGAGAGTACAATGATTGAACAATAAACATTTACTTATTATGTTAAAAGGCACATGATAAAATGACGAAAAAAAAAAGGTAAGAAAATTTTGAACAATTAAAATAAAAATATCTAACATCAAAAATTGTATCAATTGGTAAACAACAAAAATATTAAAAAAATAAAAGAGAGAAAACTACGTACTAACTCATAGGGTCATACCCCTATTACATACAAGATTAAAAATTTCATTAAAATATCAATATGTTGAGTATGATTCATTCGTTTATTTATTTTTGATAGTGAAATTTTAATTACTTAATCAAAAATAATTTTTTTTTTTTTAGAGAAAATGCATGCAGGGTCATGAACATGACATGTAGGGATGACAATTTTCCAATCCTTGCGGGCATTGCGGGGATTTTCGCCACAGGGATGGAGGCATTTTCTCTTAATGAAAATTCATAAAAAAATTTTCTCCTTCCGCGGAACTTGTGGGGGTTCCATTTTTACGAAAAATTTTAAAAAATATATAAATTAATTTTATTTTAAATTTAATTTTTAAATTCAAATTTAATTCAATAAAATTTAATTTAATTTAATTTATTATTAATATGTTAATTATTTATACTGAATTAATTTTTATTTATATTTAGATAATTTATATTTAGATTTATATTTAAAGAATTTTAATTAATTATATTTAAATTTTTAAAATTTTATTAATTATAATTAAATATTAATTAATTATATGTAAAAAAAATTATTTTTTTATATTAATTAATAAAAAATGAGAATTTCCACGGGAAATGAAAATTAGAGACAAAATCGACCCTCCCTTAAAAAATCTCTACAGGAATCCACATCCTCTTCATTTATGGGACGGAAACAGGAGAGACTTCGCAATCCCACGGCCCCGTTGACATCACTAATGACATGAGTAATATGCCAGTGTTGCGTAAAGAAGAAAAAAAAAAAGGAAAAATCCAAAAAAAGACAAATCGCCTTGAACCTAACGCGGTCGTTCCTGTCCCGACGCGTGACCCATGGGTTAGGTTTGCGTGGCGACACGAGATCGAACCATTCAATTGATTGAAAACACAAAGACTTTTTAACCGAATGGAAAATGACCAAAAAAGGCCTCTGACAAGTCAAGCTGGCTCGGCAGCAGCGGCTCGTCACTGCGCTTCCTTTCCTACTCCCCACACCTAGTCTGGGCCCCACAGTGTCGGATGCAGACAAAATGAATGACAGCAGCATGTGGTGGGTCCCGTATTACTACTATTCTTACCGCGGCGGTTTAGCGGTTTCCACTTTTTCCCTCCCGCGTTTCCATAAAACCGTTGAAACCGCTCGTTGACGCAACCGCTCTAGTCTTCTGGAGCGTGAATAACACCACCTCGATCGGATGCTCCGCGAATCGCCACCGCATGAACCATGCCTTCCCAAATAAGA